TAGAGTAGAGATGTTACGCATACGAATACGATGCGCTACTTCCGGCAGATTCGCCCGATATGCATATCTGACTTGAGAAAGAGCGCCGATAATTCGAATACGACGATCGTATTGGAATAAGCCTCGGATAATTCCGACGCGATGATCTGCCAAGTCGGCTTCACGTCGGGATAAAAAGCTCATTTGAAATTCAAGACGAACTGCTCTGTAAATATCAAAATATTGACACAGCCACCGGAAATGACCGAGAAATTGGCTCCTAAATCTATTCAAATTATGCATAGTCTGGCTACTTGTTTCCACTTTCCGGCCGTTTTCTTCATGATATCGCTTTGCATCCAAATTAGCTTATTATCCCGATGTGACCCGCTTAAAAGAACACGAACGTCGCATTCGCTTGGTTCCGCCCCTAATTCGAATACGATGATCGGGTCGGAATTAAAAAAATTTTGTTTCCGACGGCTTATTCGAATACGACGCGTAACTCCCATGTCGTATTCGTATGCGTAACATCTCTAGTGTAGAGTAGGGAATCCAATAAAAAAGCTTTTTTATTTTTTGTAGTTTGGCTTAGGCTTCGGCTTAGGCATAGGCTTACGATGAGGCTTAGGTTTTGGTTTAGGCTTGGGATTACGCTTAGGTTTAAGCCATGGCTTGGCTCGGGCTTAGGCTTAGGCTTAGGTTTAGGCTTAGGCTTTGGCTTAGGCTTATGCTTATGCTTATGCTTAGGTTTAGGCTTAGGCTTAGGCTTAGGATTAGGCTTCGGCTTAGGCTTAGGTTTAGCTTAGGCCTAGGTTTAGGCTTAGGCTGAGGCTTAGGCTTAGGCTTTAAACGCCAGTAGAGAGCTTACAAGAATGACTTAGGCTGCCACGAGTCAGACAATCTGACAGAACACGCTTTTCAGCCACAGCCCGGATTTCGGGCTTTCCGGCACGCCGGCCCGGGGCCAAGATCCCCTCACCCCAGATAGTCATTCCCGAAAATCGGCCCTCCCCAAAAATCATTCCTCGACCGCGCCCTTTTTCGGGGGTGCTTGTTTTTGGCTGTAGAGTTTTTATGTAGAACCGTTTGATTTCCAGGAGTATCTTTTAGTATGGATGGAATTTTCTTTGACGATATCTTAGCTTTAAGAACTTTGGATTTCAGGGACCGCAGCCAGGTGTCACCATCCCTTAAAGCAATAGCGGATCCCAAATGAACTCTGCTGGCTTGCTAGGGACCAGGAAATACACAAATAGCTCCTCGGCTATCTAGAGCTTGCATTAAAAGTCCGGATTTTTCTATAACTTTTTAATACCAGGCCAGCCGGGTTGTCACCATCCCTTGAAGTATAGCCGGCTCCCAAATAATCTCTGCTAGCCAGCCTTGCATGGGTTTCGAGTGCAAAAATCTACCACTTACTTGCACTAGGTCTCGACCCGACTACCCCGTTCCCAGCCGGTATCACCATGCACTTGTCTAGACCTAGTCAAACGAAGGGGTCGACATCTAGGCCTCTTAGCCCCCTTAAAACCCGACAAAACTCTTTTATTTTCACCACCCACACCTCCAGATTGACGTGTGGTGCCCCACCCTCAGAAGACCATGCTAAAGTGACGAGGGGTCGGTCGGGGGGAATTATTGCAAAAATTCACGCTTCACTCTCTCTCTCGCTCTCTCGCTCTCTCTCTCTCTCTCTCACCTTCTCTAATTGCTATCAGCACGATGCAACACAGAGTCGCCGCGATACTGACCCCTGCCAAGAAGTTGACGTGCTGGGTGCTTATCGCTAGAAATTACGTTGGGTCCGGGGCTGGCCCCCTATATAGAGCTCTGGAAATTGGGGGGCAGCGCTATCATTTTGCCCTGAGAAACGCTACACAACTAAATACACTCGCTTGCCATTAGCATGCTGAATCTACGGCCCGCCTGGTATACGGTGGGTGAAAGATTCGATTCAGGAGGTTCTGGATCGATTTTTTTAGCTTTTTAAAATTCCATGGGTTGCGGGCGAGCTAAAGGTCTTTTCAAGGCAAAAAATCCATAGCACGTCGATCCCTGGCGAGGTGCCAAAACAAATCTCACTGAACTTTTCGCCTTCCTTTTTAGTTCGGTCCGTTTATGCCTTCATCGTTCCTTTAAAAAATTTTGTAGTCTTTTAGAGACAATTTGTTACAAAAATTCTTTTAAAGGTACATGGAAGACAAAAATCCATAGGGCTTAGATTTTTGTATGTTGTTGGTATATTCACCAAAACCCAATTTGTCCCAATTTTCGCATTTTTGACTTCATCGTCCCTTTAAATTTTAATCTGTATTAAAATTGGTTAAATATAATCACATTCCAATTTAAAAAAATTGCAGGCCAAATAGCTATAAGTTTTGAAGATGCTAACAAGTTGGCTTACTGACTTTGCGGTTTTTAGAATATTTTCTCGAATTTCCAGCCGTCTTCTGCCTTCACAGTTCCTTTAAGACGCTCAGTATTTCGCAACGATTTCCCCTCCATTCAAATCGCAATAGTCGCTAAGCCGATAAGTTAAAGTCCGTCTGGAAATGCCAGAAATCCAGACAACAACTGGTTTAGCTGGGGGCTGAGCCGGCACTCATGATATCTGACCCACAAAAATGGTAGGCCGATTAGACCGGCTGCCTTCAATGGGCCTTTAAGTTGATTGCAAAAACAAGATTGGTATATAACCTAGAAATCATTGAACGTTTGGATGGATCTCTAAATCGCCTCGGTTATTCCGAATTTTTGCCTTTTACGATTTTTATATGATGGATTATAGGGTACTGTAGTGTTAATACTGTAACGAAATCGATAGGGAAAACCCATGAAGAAGTCTCAGAAAAATTCTACGGGCTTTTACCTCCAAAAGGCACTGTTAGCTATATGCTTACCGACCAACCCCCCCCCCCTCCCTCTCCCTCCTCTCTCTCTCCTCTTTCCTCTCTTCTTCTCTCCTCCCTTTCCTCCTCTCTCCTCTCTCCCCCCCCCCCCCCTTTCTCTCCCGTAAAATATCAGCCCATGAAAATGAGCGTTTTATGAAAGGTTACTCATCAAAATACGTACCCCCCAAGTGTCATTAGTCATTCGGCGTGGCCCGCCGTCTGCAAGCGTTGCAGTCTTCAGTCTTCAAAATTTCCTTGACTCATCTGACCTCCGCCCCACGATAAACGTGTGCGTAGTTAATGTTTTTTTTGGGAAGAGGTGACGTGTGGGAGGTGTTTCCCCGGAATTCTAAGATAAGAGCTGCAAAGGTGATGTCAACTGTTCGGGCGTGGGGGCAAGCCGTGTTTCGATAATTTTCAGGGGGGTATCACCCGATTTTCCAGGCTTCAGAGTCTCTCTCTCCCTCTCTCTCTCTCTCTCTCTCTCTCTCTCGACTTATCTCCACCACACCACACCCACCCGTTAGTTTTTGGGGGTTTTTCTGCACCCTCCGAAATTCGTGGGCCCGCAGCTTTTCCTGATAACGATGTGAAGAGTTTGGTCTTGTTTTTTAGTCCGTTTCTGTCTTTCCTCAAAGTTCTCTGCTAGCCGACCCTTAGAAAAATCACCTGTTCCTCAACGTTTTTTGCTGGGTCCGGTTCAAAAAAAAGTCTGCTGATGCGAAAAGCTCATCTATCTTAAAAATGAAAAACGCCGATTTTTACCAACGGTCGCTGCTCTATTACCTTCGAAATTGCTCGCTTTTTGTAAGCCTAAACTTCATCAAAGTTCTCTGCTGGTTTGCTTGATAAAGCAAAAAAAAGACATGATCCACCTCTAGCTTCCCCAAGAATCTCTGCTATCTTGCCGGCATTCGCACAACTTCAGGTTCCCCAAAAATTTCTGCTGGCTTGCTTCATCATCTCGGCTTTTTCGGGCTCTGCTTTCTCCAAGGAGTTTTGCTAATTGTCTCCTAATTTTTTCTATGATTCTCTGCTTTAAAAGATCAATTTTCCCGCTAGAAAATCCGATTTTGCATCCAAATATCATTTCATTCAAGTCTTAGATAACTCAAAAAAAGAAATCAAGACCCGTAATCCAAAAATCTCGGGCCTAATCAGCATTAAGTTCCCATATTATTATTTGGATAGCGGGATTCGGCTCTCAATCCACCCCGAATCCACCTCAAATCCACACGGGGATTCGACCCGAATCCCAACCCGATCCATCTCTTAATTCTAATGGCCCTTCGAGAGCTACAAATCCCGCATCCCAACCCCTTGTAATTTCCACCCCCACCCTCCCATAAGTCTCAAGATATCCTGCTCCTAGATAAGTCTGGATCAAGTAAGACTCCGCGGCTTTTCCGCGTGTGGGTGGCGGCCCGAATCGGCGCCGCTAAATCTGCTGTTTGCCCCCAAGCACACCCAAAAACAATTTTCTTAATTTACCCCACGCTTCCTAGGGGGTGGGACTTGTCGGGTTTTCGGGGGTGATTCGGAGTTCTAAAGACCTAGCACGATCAGTCTATTACTAGCAGATACTAGTTATTACGCTACCGTCCTATAAACGCAGAATTACCATGAGACTCAGGGTTTGTCATTGATTTTCAGGAGTGTTAAGGTATAGACATACTGTTAAATGGCCTTAAGGTACCATTAGAATCTCGGAATAACTAATGTTTTAAGGCACGACCTTGCTAATACCCCAAGACATCCATAGATACGATACCTTTAAGGGCCCTTTAAGGTACCTTTGCGATGCCTTTAGGTATAAAATCAAAAAATGAAAAATTTACCCCATTTTTCCAGGAGATCGAACTGATCGACGTGCTGTGGCGCAGTGACCTAAGCGGCGTCTCCGAGAAGCGCCAAGTTTTGGAGCGCCAAGAGGAGTCCGACCTCGCCGCCCTCACCCACAAGAGCATCACCCAGGTACGGTAGTCTATGTTTTTTTTGAGGCGATACGGTATATTATTTTGGGCATAATATTATACAAAAACAACCGCATTTTACAAATTGGATAGGCTGAGCTTTTGTTTATTGACATAAAATGTGAATCTGCGGAAAGGACATTGAACTCCTTCAAGGCGTCGGCAGTTTGCATACGAAATACTGCTGCCGGTGCTCCCAGCAGCCGTAGTCGAACCAGGTGCCCGGCTGCTCCTGGCTGTACGCCATGTACACGCAGTCCACCTAGGTTGAAAAATGATAATTTTTAGGCTTAGGCTTAGACTTAGGCTTAGGCTTAGGCTTAGGCTTAGGCTTAAGCTTGTAAGCTTCTCTGTAAGCTTAAACATTGGCTTCGGCTTGAGTCCTGTACATGCTCAAGCTTGATCTCATGCTCAAGCTTAAGTTAGCTACATTCAGCCTCCTTTTTCTCAAAGTACAAGCTCCCTCATTTGCTAAACAGCGCCCCAGTATCCCCCAACCGACATAAGCCGCGGCTGACGCCTCCAAAGCACCGGGAAGCGCTTTTTACATAAATAGAAGATGCCATTCTATTTTGCGCGCGGCTCGCCCACACACTTAATGTCAGCGCCGGCTACAGCCCCCCTCGTCGACGCGTTGTGGTGGTGGCTAGCGGAATTGCGGGGCTCGTGCTCCGACTTGAAGGGGATACGGTAACCAGGGCCATCTGATCCCCCCGGCTGATCCCCTGGTGACTGCGTCAATGTGCAGAGACGCGTGCCCCTTTGCTTCTAGAAGAAAATAACATTTCCCGATGGTTCTAGAAATGGGATGTCGTCATTTTAAAGGGATGGTGTTGGGAAGAGAAGAGAGAAAGCGACAGAGAGAGAACGTGAGCGATAGAGAGAGAGCGGTGAGGGATACAAATCTACCGAGCGAGTGAGAGAGAGAGCGCAAGAGGCTGGGAACCGCAATTTTTGGTTTCTTAGCCGTTTTTTGCCAAATTTATCAGATCGCAATTTTATGCAGATTAGGCTAACCATTCGCTAATTCCTCACTCCGATACCTTCAAGGACCATCGAAGTGAACCTCTCGCCCCCGCAAAGACCAAATTCCCACCCCGAACCCACCCCCACGTCATCGCGTCTTCCCCTGATCCCACCTACACACACAGGCCTTTGTACTCGGGGCCGCAGATAGCAATTTCGGGGGCTTATCACCAAATTTCCGCGGTACAACCCTTGGACTGGGGGTGCCTTCGAGTCTCCACGCGACTCTTGGACCACGCGTGCAGCACGGCCGGCCGATATTTTGGGTCTTATAATCTCGTTTTTGAGCTGATTGTAGGCGCGTAGCGGAATTTTGGGTCCATGATGGGCGAAAAAAGGCAAGAAAAATCTAGATGGAGCTCATGCGCAGTTTAAGCCTACGCAAAACCTCAGCCAACCCTTAATTTCGATTTTATAGCAAACTTTTAATGCCTTCATAGCTCCTTTAAAGTGATTTTTGAGCTTTTTAATCTCAAAAAAGCATATTTTTGAACATTCTAAAAATTCAGTGCGGCTATTTTTCCTTGATAATCCTTTTAAAAGCCCCTTGAAGGAAGTTATAACTCAGCAAAATCGAAAAACGCGCAAAAAGGTAAAATATCTTCTCCTCGGCTCCGAACCCGGGCCAAATTCCTGGAAAGCTAGCCATTTACCACTTGACCACCCCCCACCCACCTTCGGCTCGTTCGGCTGCGTCGAGTCCCAGTTGATATAATCGGCCGGCTGCCCGTCGCTCCACTTGTAAACCTGGCGCGTGTCGTTCAGTTTGTTCAGGCCGATCCAGATATTATTTTCTAAGGGGTATCATCATTGGGGTGTCAATAGTACTCTTTCGTATTTGGTGGACAAAGTCATTCTCGGCACGGTCGACGATGCTGACCAGGTGGCCGCCCATGGAGCGGCAGTAGTTCTCGGCTGGGACCCAGTGGAGGTCCATTTCGTAGAGACGATACCAGTGTTGGCCGTAGAGGTGGAAGCCCTGAAAAATTAGGTTTATCGCTCGCTCTCTCTCGATCTTTCTTTTATGTCACTCCCACTCTCTCTCCCTCTCTCTCACTATCCCTATCTCTTTCGTACTCTCTCCCATCTCGTTGTGTTCCTATATCTCTCTCGCTCGCTCGCTCTCACTCTCTATCTCTGGCTCACTCTCTCTCTCTATCTCTCTATCTCGTTCTGACTCTCTCGTTCTCTCTCTCTAGCACTTTCTTTCTCACTCTCTCTCCCTCTCTCCCCCAACTCGCTCTCTCTCTCTCTCTCTCTCTCTCTCTATCTCTCCACAACTCACATTCTGCTGCAACGCCAACACTGCCATCAGCCGAATATTATTGTCCAAATTCTCGGCCCTATTCCCCGGAATACTCTTATACGTTTGCTGCAAACCCGCCGGGACTACGGTGTCCCGAAATTCAGCCAATACTGTAGAAATTAAGAAGTAGCAGACGAATGTGAGCACGAGCATTTTGGAAGCGATGTTGAGAATAGGTTTGACAGCCGCACCAGACAGCCCTAAAGGAGCCCAGCTGCTTTTCCACGAGTTTATAAACACAACACTGGAGACGTTTTTCAGCGGCTCTCGGCTGAGGAGACGGCCCGTTACGAGGAGCTGAGCAAGAGCTACTTTGAGGACTTTTACGCCGGTGCTGCTTCGACCGCTGATTGCTTGTCGTCACTTGAGCAAGAGGTATGTTGGATGATTGTATTCTCGTTTGGGCTCAAGCGGGGGTCAAGGCTCATGCTCAACTTACCTGAGGCTCAGGTCTCGGTTTTGAGATTCCCTTCAAAATTTATTTTTCAGAAGTGCTACACCGACAGCTCCCTGCCCTCGTGCTCAAATCCGGTCTCGCCGCTTCCGAAAGAGCTACCCACTCCGACAGACGTAAGTTATAAACTTGCGTAGTTACTGTACGCCACAACACAAAACGGGAAACTATAGTGCGCTGCAATTTGCTAAACTCGGCTACTGTACGCTACCGTACGGTACTTGGCACTACTGCACGCGGCAGTATTCTAAAGTACGCCACTGTACGCACTGAGCTCACCCTAGGCTTAAGGCGTTTGCTTAGGTTACAGTACACGACAGTAAGCTACGATAGGCCACAAGGTTACGGTACGCCAATTTACGCGCTTGTACGCTGCTGTCCACTACAGTACGCTGTTAGCAGCTACGGTGTGTTAAAGCGTGATTACAGTACTCGAAAGCTCGTTTTTCGGTATCCCGGAAATTCCTAACGCACACCATAAGCCACGCCTCTTTCCCCTCGAGGGCTATTTACGGCGCGTCATTTCACAGATATTACGTAGCGCTACTAAACCCGTCTAGCCCCGCCCCGCTAAGCGGAGCGTTACGTAGTGCCGTGGGGCGGGCCCTCACCTGCTAATTCCAGAGGTGGTGCTGACGCTCTAGTGCCTTCAGGGTCTTTCTCGGTCTCTCTCTCTAACTGTCATCAAACCATCGGATTTAGGCGGAGCTCGACGCGCTATATAACGACATGTTGCACAAGGACAGCCCACTGGAGACGCTCGCATTCGCCCATCCTGGCAGTCAGCAACAGCAACAGCAGCATTCTCTGAACGACCCGACAACCACGCCAGTTATGCACAACGTATCACTTGGAGTGCCACTCACGCAGGCTAACTGTAGGTTTTAAGTAAATTTTTCACGCTTTATCTCCCGCACTCACTCGCGCTCTCTCAGATCTTTCTCTCTCGCTACCTCGGGTTCGTGACCTCTCGCTTTATCTAGCTTTCTCTCTCTCTCTCTCTCTCTCTCTCTCGACTCTCTCCAGCTCCCGCGCACATGCTCGCTCTCTTTCGGTCACTCTCTCGCGCTCTCTCTAGCTCTCGCGCTCGTGATTTCTGTCTCGCTCCTGATCTCTCGCTGTCTCGCTGTCTCTCGCTCCCTCTTTATCTCTCACTCGCTCAACCTCTCGCTCTCTTTCGCTCTCTATCTCTCGCTCTCTCTCGCTTTCTCGCTCTATTTCTCTCCCTCTCTCCCACCCTCGCTGTATCTTTCTCTCACTGTCTCTCTCTCTCTGACGCTCTCTAGCTCTCTCTCCCGCTCCTCTATACCTTCCACCTTCCAGTGACCGACGTGATGCCCCAAATGAACTTCTCCTGCGAGCTGCCATGCCCGCCCGCACTCGTCGGAGCCTCCGCCATCCCCTCGGCCGCCTTCAACAGCTCCCACTTCTGGCACAACCACACCGAGGGACCCCTTCCCGGATATCTCCGAACCGAGGGGTTGAACAACCTCACCATGGCCGTCCAGCAGATGTGCCACAATGAGCCCGTCTTGGCCGAGATCGGCGCCGTCAACTATTCGACGAACGTGCAGCCGCCGGTGGTTACGGTAGGTGTTTGAATTAGAAAATAATAAATAAAATTAATATCTTTGTTTCTGAGGTTATTTTTATTTTTATAGAATCTCCAAGTTCCGTATGCAAACCTGAACGGTGGATTGTACGACAGCTTTGGGCGGAGGTCGGCTTCGATTAGCAAGTGAGTTTTTGTGGAGAGAGAGAAAGAGAGGGCAAAGAGAGAGGCGGAGAGAGGGAGAGAGTGAGAGAGAGAGAGAGAGAGAGAGAGAGAGAGAACTACCTTCACATTCATCCTCCTCCATTTTCAGTGAATCCTCCATCGAATCCTCGTCATCATCAGCCTCCCCACGCTACAGCAGCGAAGCGGAGAACCACTCCCCCAGCCAGAGCCGCTTCTACGGCAAACTCCTCCCCCAACCAATCGAGTCCCAACACGACAAATACCACCTCTACGACAAGGCCCGTGTCCCGATCGTCTGCTCCGTCCTCCCCCGCCGTCGTGGCCGCCAGAGCAAAGACGAGCAGCTCGCCATGGCCTATCGACTCCCCGCCACCGCCGCCGCCATCTCCGACATGTCCCTCCCCGAGCTCCAGAAAATGCTCAGATGCGAGGACCTGTCCGAAGAACAAAAGAACCTGATCCGCAAGATCCGCCGCCGCGGGAAGAACAAGGTCGCCGCCCGAACTTGCCGCCAACGCCGCGGCGAGGTGAAGCCGGATGGGGCCCCGGCTGTCCCACAGAATTTGGGCCATTTGAATGCGTGGAACGGCCAGAATGAGGTGAGCAATTTTTTTCAGGTCTTGAATTTCTGCATTAAAATTTGAATAATTATTTTCAAATTAAGAAAAAATACTTTTTAATACTATTTTTCAAAGCAAAAATTGAATTTGCGGTCTAAAACTTCAAAAATTAGTTTTTTTTTCTTGGTTTTCGAGGGATAATTCCAAAAATTGCAGAAATAAAATTTTTATAAATTTACATAATCTTATTTCCCCAATTTCAGCACGCCCGCACCCTGTTCCGCCGGCAATGATCAGCTGCAGATTGCGGTAGAGGCTCTCCTCGACCAGCTACACCCCCAAAAACATGCCGTCTGTATGTGTGTGTCGCGTGCCGTGCATAAGAAGCCACTGAATTTTCGCCTGTACAATATTTATGCAAATTTCCGGTAGCCCCGCCCCCCTCGATTCCACATGTGTATACCTCCTCTTTTCCCCCACGTCCTCATCGCGTTTCCGGAATGCTATGAAATTCCGGAAAGCTACGGAATCACAAAATGCTGCGGAATTCCGGAATGTTACGGAAATTCTTATAATGACGGAATTACGGATTGATACGGAATTCTGGTAAGATACATAATTTCGGACTAAAACGGAATTCCGCAATGCTACGGAAACGCTCCCCGAGATCTCCTCCCTCTCATTTTTTTGGCTGATTGTAAGGTCTAAAACGTTACTTTTCTACCGTACCCTTGGGCAATAATCTCTCCAGTATTTTACTACCCTAACTAATTACCGTACCCAAATTTGGCGGTTTAAAGGGCTGGTGACCGAAGTTTTGGTGGTTTTAAAGGTGTAGTAAAGTCGAAATTAGACTTCCCAACGCCTGTATAAGTTTTGCGAATATTTTAAAGGGACCTGCAAGTCAAAAACCCATTGATTCCTCTGAATTTTCTGGCTTCCCGATTCCTTTAAAACAAAATTCCACTGTCACCATCCCTTGAAAACCCCCATTTCCCAATCCCTTTAAGCGCCGCCCACTTTTTCGATACCTACCAGAAGCTCCAATTTATTTACATTACCTTTTTCTAGCTTAGGCAACGGGTCCCCGACTTCTCAAACTTGATTATTATTTTTTTTGTTTACGATTTTTTTACACCCCCGATTTACATGGTCTACTGTAGCCGATTTGTGCAAAAAAAACCCCAATCAACTGTGTTAATTTACAGTACCCTGCTGAAAAACACTTGTGAGAAAAACAGTACCCCCTCGGTGTGCCCATCGTGTTTTTGATCGAATTTTTCATCGGTTGATAAAACGTCTTGTGTATATTTTTGAGCGCTACACGCCGCAAACTGCAGAATACAATAATTAAGATTACGAGACGATACAGTACTTAAAACATGTAGTACAATTTATGTAAAAAAGCAAAAAATAGAAAGACAGACAACGGGCATTTAGATGCCTTATTACGGATATTTGTAGGTGCAATTTAAGCTAGAGAGCTTCTCCCAACCGCTACGTATCTGTAAAAATTCAGATAATACTCTGAATCTCTTTCACATTCTCAAAAATACTTTCTCTCTCCCTCGCTCACTCTCCCTCTACATCTCTCGCGTTCTCGCTCTATCTTCTTTCTGTCACTCTTTCTGTCTATCCCTCTCTCTCGCTCTCTCTGGCTCTGTCTCTCTCTGTCTCTGTCTCACTCTCTCTCTCTCTCTGAAATCCTGCTCAGGCCTACCGTAGCTGGCGTTTTCCGGCCATGGACAGCAAAAAGGTACGGTACCCCGTCCATGTCACATTTAATCCCGTATGGGTTTGGCTGAAAAAACTGATAATTATCAAGAGAGAGAGAGAGAGAGAGAGAGAGAGAGAGAGAGAGAGAGAGAGAGAGATAAAGGGAGCAACAAAGCAAGATCTTCTTCTATACCTTTAAAAGACGATCATTTGGGTGTACCGAACGTGGCATATCGATGCGTTTGACTCCGGCTGCTTCAGCTAGAATACCGGTGAGCAAGACGTCTTCTACCTAGAGGAGCTCTGCTTTAAAGGGATAGCAACATCAGGCCGGAATTCACCTTTAAATACACACGGCATTAAAACACTATCGCTCTTATAGAAAATTTGAGCTTGGTGCGTATATGTCTAGACCTAGTCGATGGAAGGGGTCGATTTTCATATTTCCCTGCCCCGCTAAAAAAAATCCTTCAGCTCACATTATAGATGAAAGGAACGTTTCGCGTCGAATTCAGCAGTTGAGCAACGGCGCCTCGCGTTAGAATATAAGAGGGCCCGCCGCAAAATGACGGCAAGAACTTGTGATCAAAGTGTCGTGGCGAGATATACCTTAAAAACACATTAAAGGTACTTACTCACCGAAAATTCACTTAATAATGCAAAAAAATTACCATCGATGTTTCGGGTTTCGAAAGGGCTTCGACCTCCGCCAGAGCTTGCCGAAGATGGCCGGCGGATTTTCGGGGATCTTGCCCTTTGCTTGGAAGTGGAAAAATCTGCTGAAATCGAAGAGGACGTCGTCGTCAATCTGGAATCCATAAATTCTGCGTTTCCAGAGAACAACCTTTAGCAAGTATCTGGTCGGGCAGTACGTCTGATGATAGTAGAAGAGAGCGAGGGACTAAAAAAATCGTAAGATTCCACCAGTAGGGAGACAGAGAGCGAGAGAGTGAGAGGGCGATAGAGACAGAGCCAGAGAGCTAGAGCGTGTCAGAGAGAGAGAGAGTGAGAAAGAGCTAGAGAGCGAGAGATCTTTCACATACTTTATGCACCAAATTACGATAAGTATCCGGCGAAGATATTACTAGAATATCGCCATATTCTTCGGCCTCCTCGTAAATTAGCATATTTTCCTCGGGGCGCCCGCGACCGATTATGAACAAGACCTTGAGATTGGGTTCCTAAAATTAAATAGATAGTAATAATAATAAAAGAATAATAATACAATTCAGCATACCATTTTTGTTTCCACTCTTCCCCAGGTCTCCCTGATTGTCTCACGGATTTTGAAATGTTTGGCCTGGGAGAGGACGACGGCGAGGAGGAGGGCTGAGGAGCAGTTGGCTGGCTGAGAAAAATTAAAGTATACAACTTTTCTCTCTCTCTCTCTCTCTCTCTCTGTCTCTCTCTCTGTCTCTCTCTCTCTCTCTCTGTCTCTCTCTCTCTATCTAATGGCCTCATTATGAGAGTCTACAAATCATAAACTTGCTTCTGGCAGGATACGGTAGGTCGATTTGAAATTAGCGTTCTTGAATTTTATAGAAAATGGGGTTTCTTCGATGGTTTTCACTGACGTTGAGGGTACCGAAAAATCCTCTGACGTCGTTTCGAAGACCGGAAGGCTCCTAAAACAAAAACATCCTACTATCTGACGGCATTAATCTTACAGAAAACTTCTTTGCAGTTGATTTTCACAGGTGTCTTGCCGAAGATAGAGATGAAGAATGATGAGGACTAGGAACAAATCTAGGACATCGTTTGGAATAAATTTAGGTTGTGAATTTACAAATGAGCAGCTGGGTACGGTAGCACGGGCGGCCGCCCATTAATGTGCCGACGTCGATGTCGACGAGATTAGCCAGGGAATGGCATCGGGAACTGAGCAACAATCTTCTCACTCTGTGAAAGGATTGAAGCGGATTAATCACACTCAAAGTTTTTTTTAGGGAGTTTAGAGAGAGGAAGAGTGGGAGAGACAGAGAGAGAGAGAGTGAGAGAGAGAGCTAGAGAGAGTGCTACATGCATACAGAGAAGGTGATTGGAAGAGCTAGACAGAGAGCGAGTGAGAGCGAGATAGGGGGAACGAGAGAGAGAGAGAGAGAGAGAGAGAGAGAGAGAGAGAGAGAGAGAGGGTAAGTGAGAGAGCGGGCGACGAGGCAGATTGAATGAGCGAGAGAGCGCGAGAGGGCGAGAGACAGAGAGAGGGAGAGAGCGTGAGATGCCGAGGCAAGCTAGCAGAGATTCTTGGCTTCTTGGGGTATTTTCCAACGTAATGAGTTGCGGCGCTGCGTGCCGGAGGTCCAGACAAAAACCTCAATGTTTATGTTACGAATCCGCTTGGCTAGAGGCAAAAGAAGAAGAAGAAGCACAGCTGCGAATTGTTTGTCCTCTGTTTGGGGGGGGGGACTTTTTAGACTCTAGTGAGTTGTACAAAAATACATAAAATAGATTTATGCTCTGTTAAGGAGATTTAAGTTCAGAGCATTAATAATAATGTTAAATCCAGGAAAATCAATCGATCAAGCGCTGAGAAGCGGGCAGACGATCAGGGGGGATCCGTTTTTCGATTATAGCCTCGAGCTATCTGGTGTACGGCCTGTGGAAAGAGGGAGGGGAAAGCAATTAAAAATGCAAACTCCTTGCTGACGTCGCTGGAGGGGACGATCTTTGGAAGATCAAGTATTTAATTTTCTTCCAATTTTTTAACCGTTGCGATTCACGATTTTTGGCGAATTTTTCGTTTTTGTTGCATTTTTCAAACCAAAATCATACATTTTTCAAAGTTACCGTATTTATTCGTGCATATGTAATCCAGAAATCAAATTATTCCACAAATATCGACGTAAATATTGGGAAAAATAAATGCAAGCTTTCCCAAAATTCCCAAAACTCAGGAAATTCGAAAAATTAGGTCGCACAAAAACCGTAAAAATGAATTTCGGATGTACCAGTGCCGGGGGATGGGGATATTGTCTTAAATTAAAACGTAAATAATTTACATATTGTTGAAAATAGGCTATAAATCATTAAAAAACCCAAAATATACATATATAACCATCGCAATGATTATGTCAAATGCTGGTGGGCAAAATTGGTGGCGTTGATGTGCATTTGGTCGTTGGAAGTTGACGAGCCGATGATGACGGTCACGCAGATGAGGAGCACGAACAGGAGCCACACTAAAAAATGTCTTTTCCTTTAAATAAATAAAATCTTAAACTTTTTCAATATGCTAAGGTGTATTTTAAAAGCTTAAGATTGGCTTATTGCCCATTCGGCCGAGATTTTTTGGTTCTTTGGCATTATCGGGGGACAGCTTTTTTCTGGATCTAATTTAAGTTTTTTTAAGATCTTTTTAAGTGACTTTACAAATGTTAATTAAAAATACAAGAAATATCGATTTTTTTCATGTGAAAATCGCCGATTTTTGCTTTTTGATGATTTCTCGACACAAAATATAACTAAATTTCACTAAAACACCATTAAATCCTTGCTGTATTAAATTGTCCCCCCCCCCGATAATGCAAAAGCACCGATTTAGTTCCAAGAACCTACCTATCAAAAGGCATATTTTCCGATGGCCTACGAGGCACTCCCGTACACGGGCGCCCTTGCCCGTGATGGCCGGCAGGGAGTAGCGGTAGATGGAAAGTCTGAAAATTGAGTGATTTTTCATCTATTTAATAAAATAATTTTAATGTAAAAATTAAACACAACAACATCTATTATAATTGACTTAAACTTACCGCTCCGTAGACAAATGCCTCCATTTTACGCGCCTGATGCCGCCCTTCGTCTTGAGATGATTTTCAAGCGTTTTAATCGACAGCACGGTCACCTGGAAATGTCGAGAATTATAAGGCGACTAAGGATTGAAAATACCGTCAGAAAAATTCTTTGGACTAGATTTTTTGGGAAAAACTTACCACTTGACTGCTCGTATCTCGAACCCATACAAAATACTCGTTGTCCTGCCGCGGCGCGTTGTCCAGAAACTTTTTCAGCTGCGTCTTGCTCTTCTCGGAGAGGGTGGAGATGAACAGGTCGGCCTGGAATTAGAGTTTATCTGGGGGAAGCTAGCAGGGATTTCTGGGGAGCGCTAGCAGAAGCATTGGCGAACTAGCAGAGACCATTGGGGAGGGCTAGCAGAGACCATTGAGGAGAGCTAGCAGAGACCATTGAGGAGAGCTAGCAGAGACCATTGAGGAGAGCTAGCAGAGACCATTGAGGAGAGCTAGCAGAGACCATTGAGGAGAGCTAGCAGAGACCATTGAGGAGAGCTAGCAGAGACCATTGAGGAGAGCTAGCAGAGACCATTGAGGAGAGCTAGCAGAGACCATTGAGGAGAGCTAGCAGAGACCATTGAGGAGAGCTAGCAGAGACCATTGAGGAGAGCTAGCAGAGACCATTGAGAGGGCTAGCAGAGACCATTGAGGAGAGCTAGCAGAGACCATTGAGAGGGCTAGCAGAGACCATTGAGGAGAGCTAGCAGAGACCATTGAGGAGAGCTAGCAGAGACCATTGAGGAGAGCTAGCAGAGACCATTGAGGAGAGCTAGCAGAGACTATTGGGGAGGGCTAGCAGAGACCATTGAGAGGGCTAGCAGAGACCATTGAGGAGAGCTAGCGGGAATCATTGAGGAGAGCTAGCGGGAATCATTGAGGAAAGCTAGTTCAGACCACTGAGGAGAGCTAGCAGAAACCATTGAGGAGAGCTAGCAGCGATTTGTAAGATAAGGCTGGCCAACCAGTTCTCATAATTACAAAACTAACCTGTTGCCCGACCGGCTGCTGGCATACCGTATGTTTATGCTCTTCCCCGTTGAATATCGTAAACACCGAGCAGCCCGGGTCTTGAGAACAAGCTAAAAATATTATAGAATTAAAGCAGATTTATTGAGACAGGTAAATATATAAAAAATAGATAGTAAATCGAAAAACCGACTAGGATCGGTCTCGTTGAATTCGGCGTTCAGCGCGGCATAGCCAAATTGGATCGCGTGTTTTTCTTTGCCCTCGCGGAACGACTCGCACGGGCGGACGAGGGTCACTCGACGTTCACCATCTAGAGAGGAGTGGTGGATAGATTTATTAAATAACTTGCTCCCTCACTCTCTCTCTCTCTCTTTCTCTCTCGCTCTCTGTCTCTCTCTCGCTCTCTCTCTATCTTTCTCACTCTCTCTCTTAATACCTTGTTAAAATGCATTACTTTAGACCACTAAAAAACCCACTGGCTTTCGCGACAGGTGCCAACTTCGCCGGCACCGAGAATCGCTTCTTCTGATATTGATCCGGTGGCAGTCCGGCAGTCTTCACCTTTGAGACCGTATCGGCTCGTCCACGGCCGGCCGGCGGGGCTGCATCCCCGTTTTCGGCCATCTGAAATATTGAGTATAAAGTCAAATACGTATAATTAGAAACGTTTCAAAAACCTAAAATTGAAAAACTCGGTTTTAAGACCAATATAAGGCGCTTTGTGGGCATAAAGACGAAAAATAGAGATAACGCTGGGACCAAGCCAAGCAGGTTTCACGCTCAGCCTGAAGCGAAGCCGCGCAAAGTCAACCCGAATCCTAAGCAGAGCCTACGAAAAGCCTATGAGTAGCCGATGCGAAGCCCGCGGGAAGCCTACGCGAAGCTCACCGGGAAGTAAAAGCAAGGCCCGGGCGAAGCCCGAGCTGAAGCCTAAGCCTAAGCCCAAGCATAAGCGAAGCCTACACGAAGCTTAAGGAAATCCAACGCGAAGCCTAGACGAAGTCTATGCAAAGCCTAAACCAAGCCCGAGCCAAGCCTAAGCCCAGTCTAAGCAAAGCCTAAACCAAGCCCAGTCCAAGCCCAAGTAGAGTCCAAGCCTACGTAGCCTACGGAGCCAAAGCCTAAGCTTAGGCATTAGCCTAGGCCTAAGTTGAAGTCCGAGCCTAACTAACTAGGGAAGTATCTGAACTTGCCATCGAACTTCGAGAACTCAGATACACCATTCGATGCGCCGTGACAAGAGGATTCCAAATATGTAATAAAATCAACGGGAGCGCATAACGGCAAAAAGTTATGAGCATTTTAAGTTTTACATCGAAATCCTCCGCCGCGAGAAGAGCCCCTCCCAGCGCCTCTCGTGGCCTGGTGGTGTGCGCATGGGTCTCTGGGGTGTATGACCAGGGTTCGGGTCCTCTCACGATTTTTATTTTTTGCTTTTTGACCAGTTCCTACTTTTTGCATGTCCAAACTCGGGAATAAGTTTTTCTTGACTGTGTGGCCCCTAAAAAGCACCAGTGATGATAAAATAACCTCCGGCAACAAAACCAGGATTGGACGCTCTCTGTATCAAAGTTGGCAAAATGGTCGGAAACCGCCTTTTTAAGGCTCTGTGCGAATTCGAAGAATTAAATTTGTCAAAAATGGAACAGTACATCTTATTCAGCAGAAAATTCCCTTTCGAATGAGCTATCTTACCTGCGCTTTACGCCAAATTCTCGAAAAGTCTTCGGCTAGCTGGCCATCGCTACCCTTACTCTGCATTCCAAAAATATTTTTTGCGGAAATTTTTGGCAGCTGTATGTAATATAGCTCATTTGAAAGAGCTTTCTTTGTTGAACAAGGAGCACTAATCAGTTTAGACTAAATTCCATTCCGCGGGATAATACAGGGTCTCAAAGATGCTGTTTTTGGTCATTTTGCTGACTTTGAACCCTCATAACTTTTTACCGTTATGCGCTCCCGTTGATTTTATTACATATTTGGAATCCTCTTGTCACGGCGTGTCGAGGGGTGTATCTGACTTCTCAAGGTTCGATGGCAAGTTCAGATACTTCCCTAGTAAGTCTAAGCGAAGCCTAAGCGTAAGCCTAAGCGTAAGCCTAAGCGTAAGCCTAAGCGTAAGCCTAAGCGTAAGCCTAAACGTAAGCCTAAGCATCCCGCATATCCAATCATAAACTGATGTAAATAAATAGTAACCGAGCGGAACATTCTATCCACCCCCTCTTCGTCCAAAAACCAGATGTGGTAGGTGGCTATTATCGGCTGTTATACTAGTCGTGGCAAAAATGGTTGGGCCGCCAAGCTTCGGGGCAGTGATTAGATGTTTGGCCGTAAATGTCCGGCCACCTCGGGGGGAGGCGAGTAGAGGGCAGGTGGAATGAAATGAAATTCGCCGTCATTTCTCGCTCGGGGGAGGTGTGTGGGGGGCTACCACCAAAAACAAAGTAGCCCGAGGGCACAAACAGTCAGGTGTTGGTTGGGTCCGCTAGTGACTCGTGGGCTTTTGGATCAATTGGCCAATGGTTTGATGATAGCAGCTGATTGGGTTTTTAGGTGCGTGTACTTTACAGGAAGTTGCTAGCCGGAAGTTTACCGGGGGATAAGGTATGTAATGGAAAGAGACAGATAGAGAGAGCGAGAGAGAGTGAGTGAGAGAGATAGAAGGCGAGCGAGAGGGCGAGAGAGACGGCTAGGGGTAGAGAGGGCAATAGAGAATGAGAAAGAAAGAGAGAGAAAGAGAGAGAGTGAGAGAGACAGCGAGGGCTAATTCGCCATATCTGGAATCTCGGAACCACCATTTCCTAGTTTCTAATTGTCAAAAAATAAGGAAAAAATATATAATATAATATAATATTTGAATGAATAGTGTGGTGGAGTCACGTAGAGATGCGGGTCTCGGCCCCCACGCTGCCCCCCGCAAGATGGGAATCCCGAAAACAAGAAAGTCATGGGAGGGGGAAGTGAAAATATCGGCAAAATATCGGGATGGTTGCGAGCGGCAAAATATAAGCAACCGCGAAGACTTTCGACGAGGTTGGGGTTGCCAAATTGGGCCAGAAAAAACTATGGAAATTTATAGAACGTGCGGATTGTCCAACCGGTACGGGTTACCGGTCGAAATGCCGACATCTAAAATGCTGACGTGCTAAAACTCTTACAAGTAAAACGCCGACAACCAGCATTCGGATCGCCGAGCCGACAGCGGAAATACCGATAGCAAGGACCAAAGGAGAGAAAATTTGGAAATCTCGAAAACGTGTAGTCAAAATGCCGACAGTTGAAATACCGACAGTCTAGCCACCTATTTGAAGCTCCCGACACCTAATATGCCGACAGCCAAACTATCGAGAATTTCAAAACCCAACCTTAAAAATTCCGTCAGCTAGAATACCGACAACCTAAACTATCTCCGAAGCAAGGAAAATACCGACAGTAGAAACTGCGGGAAGTCGAAATACCGACAAAACGGAAATTTTTATTTAATGCGCTGGTGTTTTGATTGCGACATTTTCTTTGTCGGCATTTTGACTGTCGGCATTCTCACGCATACGAGATCTACGCAGAAAAACTAAAAAAAGATAAGTAATACGGTACTCGAAAAGCCAGGCTTTTTCCGCCTCGGAAATGACCAATTTGCGGGCCGGTGAAGCGGACCCGATTAGGCGAAAATCGCGAAAATAGGCAATTCCTCGTATTGGACGAAAAAATCTAATTTTTTGAGAATTTGATTTTGTTGGCTGTGTTGACTGGACGGCTCGGTATTTGTGGGTGGCGCACTAATGGGATGAAATTAATGGTTATTTCATTCAGAAAATCCGGTTTATCTAAATTTTTTTAGTGGAAGCCATTAAAGCGAGAGAAGAAAATCATGATCCAGCCATGTTAATCCCTTTAAAAACCTAGAAGACCGAGGGCTAGTTTTTAAGATCAATAATTTTTGTCTAGACGAGAGCGAGAGAGAGAGAGAGAGAGAGAGAGAGAGAGAGAACTCGGTAGCCTAGAATTGCACCTGCTTGAGCTTGACGCACAGCTCGGAGACGTCAAGGCCGACGGGCCGGCGGAGGGACTGGAAAGCCGGGTGGCCACGGTCGCGACTTGTGTCCGGCGCACTCCAGATCATCACGCTCCGGGGTACGGTAGCTGGTATAAAATACGATCGACTTGCAGTGCCTTCGAAAACTATAGGTCACCGAGTACGCAGCGCTACGTCCGTACGAATAATTTCGGTATGCAATAGGCAGCCGGGATACGTAGCATAGGTACGTACGGGTTGGTAACGGTAACGTGGAATAAAGATACAGTAGAATCCAGGAATAGTGTAGTGGGAATAGGAAAGAGTAGTACGGGAGAGTGGAATAAAAATATCCAGGAATCCAGAAGTGTAGAAAAATATAGGCAACCGAGCACGCAAGGTTACTTCCGTACGGAAAATTGAGTCTGATTTCAAGTAATATTACGTAGCAATACGTACGTACGGCTACGAATTACGGAAGTACGATAGTCGGTGGAACAAAAATACAGTAGTCGAGTGAGGCTGAAAATATAGCCAACCGAGTACGCAAGGCTCGTCCGTACGCCGATAAATATGGGTTGTCGCAACGTAGCAATACGTATGAATACAGAGTACGTTATGTACGTCAGGCACGGAATTAGGAATGTTCCGGACCGCCTTGGCTCGAATCCATGAACCAAAAAAAAGGCTGCGCGTCCGGGCTGGCAGCCAGAATTGTAGCCAATTTTCCGTGTCAATACCCGCACCGGAAATTGCTCATTTTAGACGGCTTTTCGGCGGGTTTTTCCGGGTAATTAGCCGAGCTTCTCGTAGAAATGGTTATCGAGCAGCGGGGATAATTTTCCCGTGCCTTCCTGTGGCCGGAAATGGGTGTTTTGGGTGAGGCCGATCGGCCGGGGGGAGTCTGACTCAAGCCGCGCCGCCAATTTTGATACCGTAGCGTAGCGGCGAAGAAGGTCGTCACGGGCGCGTGGGCGCAAAATAAGAATTAATTTTTGTTGGGTTGATTTGAATCGGAATCTCTCTTCTCTGGTGGTCCCGACGGGACGGTTCATTAGTGCGATTAAGGGGACCACCAAAATATCGGCCATTTTGGGCGGCCCGAAAACGCGGTGTGTCACTAATTATTTTGATAAACCTAAGAAATTGGGCACAAAATAGGAGAGAATTCAAATTAGGGGGTTGTCAGGTGAGGCTCGAGCATTGCGCCAAAATGTACAAAAAGCGTGGCTTGTTTTGGTTGTGAAAGTGCAATGTAGAATTTGAGGGGGTCCCTCGGGGATAGTTAGATGGATACGCATTAAAATTAAAGCTAATTTATGTTTACAGTGTCCTAAACCTTTCCCAAATGGTCTTTGCTAGCTTGCCCGCTTTGCCGTTTTCGTTTATCGAACCATGCATTAATGGGAGCTTTCTAACGCTCTCTCGCTCTCTCTGCCTCTCTCTCTCTCGCTCTCTCTCTCGCTCTTTCTTTCTCTCTCTCTAGCTCTCTCGCTGTCTTTCTCAGTCTCTCTCGCTTTCTCGCTTTCGCGCTCGCTTTCTCTCTCTCTCTCTCTCCCTCTCTCCCTCTCTCCCTCTCTCTATCTCTCTCTCTCTCTCTCGCTCTATCTCT